TGAGAAATAAATATCTATTGTTTCTAAATTACCCAGTCTGTGGTATTTTGTTGTAGCAGCACAAACAGACTAAGAAAGGGATCCTTCAGAATGAGGTCCACATAGATTTCTAGGTCTATTATGGCAGTTTCTTGGCATATGGTAGCCAAAGGTTGAGCTTTAACAAAATTGGCACATTATGACAATTTTATGACTAATAGAGTCCAGTGTTGTAAGGAAGGGGTCTCTTTTTCTAATACACACAAAGGCAACCTATGGGCTTGGACTTAGAGTGGCTCAAGCTCAACATTTCCAGAATAAATTAATCTTTCTCACTGACCTCTCCCACCTGCTTGTCACCCTGGATTCCTTATCTCAGTGGCTGATATCTCCTTTACCCAGTTTTCCAAGGCTGAAACCTCAGTGCCAGGCTTGGCCCATGTTGGCATCTCCCTCCCTCCTGACTTCATGTCCAACATTCCATCAGTCACTGAGTCCTGTCCAAAGTTAGGGTTAATGCATCAGGTCTTCCTTGATTATGACAACAACTTCTTAACTGACCTTCCCACAGCCACTCTTGCCCCTCCAATCCATCCTCCATCATGCAATCCTAGTGATCTTTCTGGAGTGGAAATATGATCAGTCCACCCCTTTCCAAGATCTTGCTGTGGCTCCTTGTCACCTCTAACAGGGTTTCTCAAAGTGTGGTCCTCAAACCATACAAATCAGAATCACTTGAGGTACTTTATCAAATGTGGATTTTTAGCACCCATCCTACCTAACTACTAAAGTTTCAGATTCTCTGTAGTGAAGTTCATGAATCTGCACATTAATGGATGTCCCAAGTCATTTTCATGTGTATAACTTTGAAAACTACTACTTTCTACAGTATTTCCCACTTCCCTAGCAGGAACTGCAGAGTGCAGCTGGCCATTCAAAGGAGGCCTTTCCTGTCCCCTGGTGAGCATTACCTTAGGCCTGAGAATTCACTCTTCACCTTGGCTTCCACCATACAACTCCAGCTCCAGGTGGGATTCCAAAACCATGTGCCTGTCCTCTTAAGAGTGATTTCTGGGAATGCAATATAGTCAACCCAACAACTATGGATAGACCCCAAAGGCTTGAAATGGCCTCATTCACATAGCTGGCAGAAAGGGGTGGTAGGGCCTGTGTGTGTTGGGAGACAATTCTCCATGCCTATTTCAGGCTTCAGCATGGTCAGGGTTCTCTGAGCAAATACATTCACAGTCAAGTTAATAAAGTTGGTATGAGGAGACATTCCAATCCAGGGTAGTAAAGGTAAATCTCCGCAGAGGACATTTGCTTGCATTCCAAGGTAATGAGTAATCTCTCTCCCTGCAGAGGAGAATGGGCAGGTCACCAGCAGCCAGGGTTTCCTGCATTGGGGTTTTCTCTCCTGTGGTATCCCATTGCAGGTGCAGATACTATCTAGCCTCCTATTGGTCAAAGGCAGTTACAGGCCAGCTCCCATTCAAGAGGAGGGGAAGTAGATACCACCTCTTAATGTAAGAGTGGCAAGGTTGCATTGCAGAATAGCGTGCAATCCTGTGCAGACTGGGGCTCAGGATGCAGATCAAAGATATTGCTGTAACTGCTGATTTTGCTGTGAATAATATACCGTCTTTGTTTCGGATCCAGAGGCTTCATGTTTTCTGTCAGAGTGTTAGAGAGTGGTGATCAACTAAATTTTCAGCTTGCTAGTAGGGTAAAATCTTAGGTTATAACAGCTTCTAACCTACTACTTTGGAGTACCCTCCTTGGAGTGTGGCTATGATTTGTGCATGGATTCCTAGCTAATTGGGGAAGGGAGCTGAACAGGTGGGAGATTACTTCTCTGGATCATTCATGAAGAGCAATGCTTGGGTGCTCTATTGCTGCACAAAAAATCACCCCAAAACCCAGTGGCTTAAAACCATAATTTATTATTTTTCAAAAATCTGAGTTAATTTATGATTCACCAGCTTCAAGTGGTATTGGCTAGGCCACTGGAATGACTGAAAGGCTTGAAATGGCCTCACTCATGTAGCTGGCAGTTAGTGCTGGCTTCTGGCCATGTTGCCTGCGGAATTCAACTAGGGCTGTTGGCTTAGAGCTTTGGTTCTCTTACATTGTGGGCCTTTCCCTGTGGCTGCTTGGGCTTCCTCAGAGTATGGCAGCTGACTTCCAAGATGGAATATGCACAGAAACCAAACTGGAAGTTTTAAATCCCTTAAGGGTTAGCCTTGGACATTTTACAACATCACCTCTGCTACATTCTATTGTATGTAGAGGGGTTACAGAGCCAGTTCATATTCAAGGGTAAGGTAAACAGACTTCACCTCTTGATATGTGAGTGGTAAGGTCACCTTGCAAAAGAGCTGGGGGATATTATTGCAGCTGTCTTTGGAAGCACAATCTACCAAACGAACATAGATGAGGGACTACACAGTACTATTTCTCCAAGTGCAGTGAGCCCTGCATCAGAATCACGTGGAGCATTTGCTGGAAATGCAGACTGGGGCTGATTCTTGCACACAAACATTTGAGATCTGCTGAGCTGCAGAACAAAGCCCAAACTTCTTAGCCTACCAGTCCAGATCCTCACTTATCTCGTCTGACTTTGTACTCCAGTAACACTCAATTTCTTGGCATTCTCTTGCACATAATAAGCTATTTAACCTACAGATACAGTTTGGATGTTTGTCCCCTCCAAATCGCATGTTGAAATGTGAGCCCCAATGCTGGAGTTGGGGCTGAGTAGGAGATGTTTGGGTCATAGAGGTGGATCTGTCAGGAATGGCTTTGTGCCCTCCCCGTGGTAATGAGTGAATCCTTGTTCTATTAGTTCATGCAAGAGCTGGTTGTTTAAAAGATTCTGGTGTCTCTGTCCCCTTTCACTTGCTCCTTCTCTTACCATGTGACATGCCTGTTCCCTCTTCACCTTCCACCATGATTATAAGCTTCCTGAGGCCCTCACCAGAAGCATATGCCAGCACAATGCTTCTTGTATAGTTTGCAGAACTGTGAGCCAAAATAAACTTCTTTTGTTTGTAAATTACCAAGTCTCAGATATTCCTACATAGCAAAGCAAAACAGACTAATACACCTACTAATCCATACCTTTGTCCATAACTGCGTCTTCTGCCTGGAATAACTTGACTCCTTCACCTCATCAAGTACTTATTCATCTTTAAAGATTCAGCTTTACATTACTGTTTTGGGGAAGTTTTCCTGACCTCCTTTTTTCCTGTGGATTGGGTTAGGTGTTCCACATCCTGTGCAATTGTCCCCATTATGGCACTTGCCAACTTGTAATGTCATTGTTAATGTGTCTGTCTCTTTCACTTGATTGTGAACATCTTAAGCAGGGATATGTTAGATTCGTCTCTGTCCTCTAAATCTTAAGTGTACTTAACTGAATTGGAATTATGATTGTGTCACAGTAAATACCACTTTGGCCTAGTCTTTCTTGAAGAATACGGTCCTTAAAATATGGTTAAAGTTGCACTGTTTTCTTTCTGACAATTCTCAGCACAGCTAAGATGCTTGCAGCTACTTGTAACAAAATACTCAACTAAAAGTGGGTGTCTTAGTGTGCTTAGGCTGCCAAAACAAAATACCATAGACCGGGTGGCTTAAACAACAGAACTTTATTTTCTCACAACTCTGGAGGCTGCAAAGTCCAAGATTAAGGGTCCAGCAGAGACCTAGTGAGGGCTCTGTTCCTGGCTTGCAGATGGCCACCTTCTTGTTGTGTACTCAGATGGCCTTTCCTAAGTGTGTGCATGTCAGTGCATGAGATCACAGGTGACCCCTCCTATAAAGCACCAGTTCCGTCAGACTAGAGCTTGGCCCTCATGACCTGATTGTCTCTCAATACCATCTCCAAATACCATCACATAGGGAGTTAGGGCTTCAACATATGGACTTCAGGGGGATGAAAACATTCAGTCTGTAACAGTGGGTTAACCATTTTATTTAATAATTGAAAGCCAGCAGCCTGCAGAAGATGATTCTCCAGTGTAAGATGGGAGTTATTATTGTCTGGGGATCTTCATTTCCTTCTTCCCAGCCCTCTACACCTTGTTATCGTCTTACCCCAGGCTCACCTCCTCTTGGGTATAAGATGGCTGTAGGGGCTTCGGCCATCATATCCTCAAAGTTAAGTTTGACGTCATTAAGCTGGTAGGGCAAGATGAGTTTGGGATGGGCATGAGGAACTCTCTGTCTGCAGGTCTGCCTTTTAAGAGGGGGCGAATTGTTCCCTTTATAGCTCCTTTGCCAGGTCTGGGTCACAGGACTCCCGTCTACACCCAGAGCAATCACAGGCAAAGGGGCTTAATCATGAGCCACACATCCACTCCCAGCTTAATCAGGAGTGACGTGAGAGAGGATGATTCGCACCCAAACAAAATGAGCAAGAAAATAAATCTAGCCCAGAAAGTAAATGTCCTAAATGCCTCAGCAAGATAATTGGCTTGGTTTTCATAGCAGTGATTTTTAATCAACAGTAGTTAAATGTTACTCTTAACATAAACCATGGGCGGAAGTTCCGAGGGCGGCATCAGAACACTTGGTTGCTCTACAGATGGCAAGGAGGTGGGTTTGTAGGGGGGTGTGGAAGGGGAGAGTGGAGGGAAGAATGGGGTGGGGAGGAATTGCTAAAATGCCCGGAATTGCTCGTGCTTCAAGAGGGAGCCTGAGCTGTCCTATACCTTTTCTGGGAAGGACAACTGAGGGGGGAAATAATTTTTAAACCTTGAATGTCTCCAAACTTCTTATTACACCCCACGTCTCTGCCGTCAACCGGGTTTAACTACAGAGCGAAGCACGCTATGCATAATCCGTTTGGGGATTCTGAACCCCAGTGGCTCGGAACGCGCCCAGGTCGCCAGAGCAAGAGGTCCTAGCCCCCCATCCCCAGGCTACGCGGGCGAGTGCCCAGGTGGGGGTTCCCGGCGCTGGCCCCCAGCGTCGCCCTCCCCGCCCCCGCTCCCGCTCCCGCCCCCGACCCCCGCGCGCGGGGCCTTGTGGGTAACGCGGGGCCGCCAGGTGACAGCTAATGGCGGCGGCCGCCTGAAGCGGGCGGGCGGTAGAGCGGGCGGCAGGAGGCGCGCGGCGGAACCTTCCCGGACGCCGCTCCTGTCCCGACGGCGGCTTCCCTACGGCGGCGGGACTCGGCGCGCCATGGACAGGCCGGCGGCGGCCGCGGCAGTGGCGGCGGCAGTGGCAGCAGCGGGCTGCGAGGGCGGCGGGGGCCCCAACCCCGGGCCGGCGGGCGGTAGGAGGCCTCCTCGGGCCGCGGGGGGCGCCACCGCTGGTTCCCGGCAGCCCAGCGTGGAGACCCTGGACAGGTAAGCGGAGCCCAGGCCGACCCGGCCTCTCGCGCCCCGACTGCCGAGGGCCCCGCGCGAGGCCCGCCCTCTCCCTCCCCGCGCGCCGCGTAGGGCCTGGCCGAGGCGGGGTGGACGAACCCTCTTCATCCCCTCCGGCCCCTCCCTCCCCGGAAACCCCTGCACCCCATTGGGGGCTGCCGCCCTCGGACCTGCTGCGGCCGCGCACCAGGCTTACTTCCGCCGCCCTAGTCCCAGCTCCTGGAACCCTGGGAGGGGCTTCGCGGCTATCAAACCACTTCCCGCGCCGCCACCTGCTACCCTTGGTGACCCCTTGGCTGTCCCTGCCCGGTCCACCGACCCTCGTGGGAGGGAGATCCCACCGGGGCTCTCCTCTTTTAGCGTCACCTTGACTCGTGTGGTTTTAAGACCCCAATTCTACTGTGGCTGCTTAAAGTCTTTGATGCTGGGGTTGGGAGTGGGGACAGGGAGATGGGACCCGCGGGCGTGGGAGCTGTTGCAGATCGAGGCAAAAATCTGGGATGGAAAACTTCCAAACTGCTCAGGAGGGAAGAAAACAGAACCTTTTACTTTCAGTTCTTCACATTTTGAAGGAACCAGTTTATTGTTTTCATGAACACACAAGCAAGCCTACTGCTTTTGAGGCAGCTGCAGAACTAAGAGAAATCAGAAGTATAAAGTGACCATGCCTGACTGGGAGGGGCACCCTTCCTCCGATGACAAGGGGTGGCCTATCCCGTAACCCGGAACATCCAGTGTCGCACATCTTGGCCATTTCTCTGACAGCAGAGTGCACTCAGGTAGCATGGCTGTTGTAATGTAGCTCTGTCAGTTTCAGATGCCCATTCCTGCCTGTCTTAGTCATACCATTGTGCCAAACTTTTGGGAGTTTCCAAAAGCACAGAAACAAGAAACATTCCCTTCACTTTAGTTTCTACCTCAATATAATTATATTTTAACAAATTAATCACCCAAGTGGTTAGTATCACTGAAAACCAGTCACAGCTAAGAGCACTTGAAATGGTGAGGACTTCACTCATCTGCAAATATTCAACGATGTACGAGTTCTGGGTGATTCACAGAATAGTACAACGTGGCTTTTGCTGGGCTTACCACGTAGTGGAGAATACAAACCAACCAATAGTAGAAATCGAATGAGATGTGTGATAGAGGCAAACGTGGAAGTACTCAGGGTGAGTGTGCATCAAAATCTTTTAAGGAGCCAAAGGAGACCAGAATGTGTCACCCCCAAATATTCCTCATCTTCTGGTTTCCTTCAGAGATTTTGGTGATCAGGAAAAGCCCCAGAAAGGTGACATTTGATTAATGTCCCCAAAGAGGCGAGGGATCCAGCCATACAGATACCTGGGGGTGATAACATTCTAGTCAGAGGCTTGTGCAAAGCCCCTGAGGTGAGTGTGAACCAAGTATTCCTAGATCAGCAAGGAGACTAAGTGTCACTAGCAGGGAGGGAGCCAGGGAGAGACAAGTAAGGGATGATGTTAGAGAAGTCACAGAGCCAGATGGTGGAGCGCCTCAGAGGCCATGAGGAGCCACAGGGGACCTTGTGCAGGGGAGTGACATAATCTGTTGTAGATTTCAGCAGGCTCTCCATGGTGCTATGTGGACAATATAGTGTCAGGGGAAGGAGTGGAAGCAGAGACTGGCAGTAGGAGGCTATTGGAGTAAGCCAAGTGAAATGGTGGCTCAGCCCGGAGAAGAGCGGAGGAGGGGAGGAGTGGTCAGATTCTAGATGTAATTTGAAGACCTGCAGGGTAGAGCCTATGGGGTTTGCTGAAGATTGGTTGTTTGGTAAGAGAGAAGAATCTGGGAGAATTCCAGGGTTTTAGCTTGTGGGAAAATTGTGTTGCTGAGATAGAGAAGTCTTTCTAAGGTGGAGCAGGGTTAGGAAATAGCAGGCTCTTTGCTCTGGACATATCAATTATGAGATGCCAATTATATGTCCCAGAATAGATGTCAAAGATATAGTTGGTTGGCCGGGTGCGGTGGCTCACGCCTGTAATCCCAGCACTTTGGGAGGCTGAGGTACGTGGATCATGAAGTCAAGAGATTGAGACCATCCTGGCCAACATGGTGAAACCCCGTTTCTACTAAAAATACAAAAATTAGCTGGGCATGGTGGCATGCACCTGTAGTCCCAGCTACTCAGGAGGCTGAGGCAGGAGAATTGCCTGAACCCAGGAGGTGGAGGTTGCAGTGAGCCGAGATCGCATCACTGCACTCCATCCTGGCGACAGAGTGAGACTCTGTCTCAAACAAACAAACAAAAAAGATATAGTTGCTGTGTCTGAGCCTGGAGTTCAGGGTTGTCTGAGCCTGGAGTTCAGGGTTGTTTGGGCTGGAGATTCAGACTGGGGAGTCATGGGCTTATAGATGAGGCTTAAATTCATGAGGCAGGTGGAGTACACAGAAGAATGAAAGGAGTCTGGAAAAGGGAATAGGACTAGGAATAGGGATGGGTGGATTTTCAAGATACTTACCAGGTAAGAGTGACCTGACCTGGTGAGCATTCAGATGTGAGGGGGAAGTGCTGGGTGGACTCCAAGGAAAATCTCAGCTTTCTAGCTTGTGGGGACTGGGTAACTGGCTGTGCTGTGCCCTGCGTTAGGAAACACAGGACGGGAGTAGGTTGCGGGGCTGAGCGACTGATGCTGGTTTAGACAGGTTGAATTGGCAGGGTCTCTGGGCCAGACCAGTGGAGATGTCTTGTAGGAATGTCAGCACTGAGATCAGGAGAGTCCAGGTTGAGAAACAGAGCTGGGAGCCTCCAGCCTGCAGGTGGTTATTGATACCAGGAGCATAGAGGGCAATTGCAAGACTGCAGAAAAGGGATGGGGGAGGAATCATGGCTTCCTTTCTCAGTTCTGTCATCTCAACAAGCTCAGATTCACACTTTCCTTTGAAGAGTGACCTCTAAAATGGAACCTGGCTCTATAGGTGGGACTTGGCCCTGTTCCTTGGACTGTGGGGACTTCACTTCTGTTTTGAATACTGTACTTAATGATAAGGAAGCTGTGGTCCTGTAAGAGGATGTGTCTTGCCAAAGATCATGGAGTTAGCTGGTGACAGAAGCAGTACTCACATCCAGGCATCCTGTCTGCTAGCCCACTATACCTCACTGTGTGTAACTACGTTGGCCAGGACGCTTCTGTATGCAGGTCACAGGAACCACAATTCAATCTAGCTTAAGCCAAATGAGATGTCCTGGCTCACAGAACTGCTCCAGACAGGAGGAGAGATGGCCACACACCCAGTTGAGGCCAGGATTGCAAACAGTGTTGTCGAGACTCCGCATCTCTCGGTCTCTTTTTTTTTCTCTCACTTTTTATTCCTGTGAGTTCCTCAAGATGGTAGGGGTGGGGTGGGGAGTGGCCTCCAGCAGATCTGGACGTATTTCCAGGATCCAAGAGGAAAGCCTGGGATTGGCTGATTCTAGGTAATTCACCTGCAAGTGGGAGCAGGCGGAGGAAGAGGTCAACCTCCTCCTCCCCTTTCCCCCACAAAAGCCTGTGATGTGGGAAAGGGCAGTTCCCCAAAGTAAAGAGGAGCGTCCTTACCAGAAGAAGGGGGAAGGCATGCTGGGCAGGTGGTAAGAACAATTCACACTCATGATCAACAGTTGGGTTCCTGCAGTTTCTTCCTGTGTTTGCACCTGGTGGCTGCTGACAGGCAAAGGCTTTATGACGAGAAAAGTATCATATATGCAGACAATGAAAGTGACTTAACCTTTAAAAAGGAAACAAATCTCTCCCTTTTCCATCCTTCTTCCTCTCAGGTCGAAATTGTGGCATATAGATTGCTGGCATGTGATGAGAATTTCTGCTCATTCAGTATTTTGAACCACACAGATAACCTCTGGTCTGTTTGGAGCAGAGACTGCAATTTGGATCACTAGCACAGAACCTCGGTTTTCCTTATTCTACTGTTCGGGTCATTTTCCATATTGCCTGGGGATTCCAGGTGTTTCTGTCCTTCAAATACATGAGTGTGGGTTTAATTAGTGATGTGACTTTTTTTAAAGGCCTGAAACATTCTTTACAGTGAACACTACCTGCAAGGTAAACTTTCGTTAATATTTTTAGCCCTCTGGCTGGATTTCTTAGTGTTTTCCCAAATTGTGAGAGGAACCCGGCCTCTGGGGGCAATTGTTAAATCTCTCACTGCTTAGTTGGCTTATGTGGTCTTTTAGGTAAGGTGAGTACAGCCTCACCACTTACCAGTCGTGTGACCTTGGGGAAAACTGGAACTTAATTTTTTCATCTGTAAAATGGGTCACTGTGAGGCTGGGCAAGGCTACATGTGTGAAAATGCTTTGATGCTTCAGAGCTCTGTGGGAGTGAAAGATGCCATTTTCTTTGCAATGTTGTGTTTTCATATAAAGCAGTTGGCTACCACCTGTGCTGCTGGCTTCAGTGCAGTGAGTCAGTCACTACTAGTTTTTCTATGTCCTGTTAAGGACAGCCACTTTCTCACAGAACATGTCACCTCTGTGCCTTGATTTTCTCTTCTCAAAAACAAGTCAGCTAGTCCCTGTTCTGCCTTCTCATCACACCATGGTTATGAGGCGCTGACGTAATAAAAACTATTTGTGCCTATAATCCCAGCACTTTGGGAGTCTGAGGCGGGTGGATCACCTGAGGTCAGGAGTTTGAGACCAGCCTGGCCAACATGGTGAAACCCTGTCTCTACTCAAAATATAAAAGTTAGCTGGGCATGGTGGCACACACTTGCAATCCCAGCTACTAGGGTGGCTGAGACAGAATTGCTTGAACCCCGGGGGGTTAGAGGTGACAGCCAAGATTGCACCACTGCACTCCAGCCTGGGCGACACAGCAAGACTCTGTCTCAAAAACAAATAAATTTAAAAAAAATAACTAAAAACCATTTATAAGTTGTCAGAGCAATTACAGAAATGTAAGGTATTGTTAATACTACACAGAGAATGTCATTTTTCTAGGCTATAATTTATAAATCTCATGATCAGGTTTACTTCTGAGTCACTTTGCTTCACTCAAAAGTACACTATTTTCTAGATTTAAAACTACCAACATGAAATTGATTGAAGGTTTGAAAAGCCTACGATGTAACATAAATACTTCTCTTTAGAATTAACTATTTATATAGGTTAAGAATATTTCTTCCGGCTGGGCGCAGTGGTTCATGCATTTAAATGTAGCACTTTGGGAGGCTAAGGCAGGTGGATCACTTGAGCCCAGGGGTTAAAGACCAGTCTGGGACACATGGCAAAACCCTGTTTCCACCAAAAAATATATATATATTAGCTGGGCGTGGTGGCATGTGCCTGTAGTCCTAGCTACATGGGTACATGGGAGGCTGAGTTGGGAGGATCATTTGAACCTGGGAGGCAGAGGTTGCAGGGAGCTGAGATTGTGCCACTGCACTCCAGCCTGGGTGATAGAGCAAGACCCTGTCTCACAAAAAAAAACAAAAAACGATATGTCTTCCATATAATTTTAATAGATTAAAATTCCATTAAATAGTGGAGAATAGTAAGCTTAACTAACACCTAGAATCTTCATCTTTTTTGAGAAAATTGGTTGATTTATTTAAAATTAACCTGCAGCCTAATCTTACTTCCTAGTTGTCAGTTGCTATTTCAGTTCTTAGATTAAATGAAAAGGTGAAAAAAGTCTAATTAAAAGTTCATTCATCTAAAAAAAAGAAGTATGATCATATTCCTATTCAGTGCTAATTTTTTCACTGAGATCCTATGATATAATGCTTTTTAATCCATGCTATTTTTTTTTTTAGTCCTACAGGATCACATGTTGAATGGTGTAAACAGCTTATAGCTGCTACAATTTCTAGTCAGATTTCAGGTTCGGTGACATCAGAAAATGTATCCAGAGATTACAAGGTAAGCAACATTGAGTGCTTATTCATTTTCAGTATGCTAAGTAGCCAAGAAGCTTTGCAGTTTTAATTCAAGTGAGCTGTTGGCCCTTTGATGTACTACTGCCATTTGCTTGAGAATAAGGAATGCAAGGTTCTCTTGTTAGATCTAAAATGTAGAAGAGAAATTTTACCAGTATCCCGTGCATGTAGTCATAGTTTTATAATTGAGAGGAGAAGCTGTCTTTAGATGATGATGATTCTTTTAAAAATCAAGTTCCATTTTATGATAATACATGCATATATCTTCTTTGTTAGTATTGTGAGTTTCAGAAAATATCTTGATACACACGTCACTAACTTCACATTTTTTTTCATATTTATGTATTATCTGTGAGTATTCAGCATTAACCTGTGAAACTAGAGTGTATAAAAACCCTTCCAAAATCTCAAAAGAGTATTGTATGGGCAGTCTCATTTTTCAGTCCTTACTGAAGTGAAAAATCTCTTTTTGTTTATTTTAAAAGTTAGATTCCTTGCTTATTCTAAATTTAAGAGTGATAAGCTCCTTGTCAGCAGAGACTAGGGCTCTTTTATTCACCACTGGCTTCCCAGCCACAATCCTGGAGCATAATAGGTGCTCAATAAATATTGAATCAATTAAGAAACCAAAAAAATTGCTTGCTCCATCTTTGTTAAGGCTAAAGACTAACTTGGTTTTAACATCAATAAACTATTAATAGGTACATTAAATGAAATTACATTTATATTTCAGTAGTGATGTTTGCCTAAATTGAGGTTTCTGTTTAATTATGGTAGTCATTTTTGCCTGCTAATAAGAGTTGATTGATTTTTCACAAGTGTATGTAAAATGCATTTGGTATCCCAGACTACATCAGTTAATAGTCTCTCAAAATCACAGTCTTTGCCGGACATTGAATCTTACAAAAATTAAGAGTTATAATAAAGACCCTAATTAATTCTTAATAGGTATTCCTTGTTTAGGAGCTTTATCTTCAGTTCCTTCTTAGCTCATAGGGTAATAACAAGTGCAGAAACAGGCTCAAGAGGCCAACTAATTGAGACTTGGCTGTGATGCTCTCTCTTGCTTCATCCAAACTGGCAGATGCTGTTGATTATGCCTACCAAAGGAAGGCATAGCTGTGGTTTAGCAGAAATTGGATATTCTGCCCAGCTAGAAGAGTGACAGTATATTCCTTTTTTTTTTTCTTGATACAGACAAGAGTCTTGCTTGTCACCAGGTGCCAGGCTAGAGTGCAGTGGCACGATCTCAGCTCACTGCATCCTCTGCCTCCCGGGTTCAAGCAATTCTCCTGCCTCAGCCTCCCGAGTAGCTGGGACTACCCAGGCACGTGCCACCATGCCCAGCTAATTTTCGTATTTTTTAGTAGAGAGGGGGTTTCACCATGTTGGCCAGGATGGTTTCAATCTCTTGACCTCGTGATCTGCCCGCCTCGGCCTCCCAAAGTGCTGGCATTACAGGCGTGAGCCACCATGCCTGGCCAACAGTATATTTCTTAATAGTTTTTCCTGCTACCTAGTGTTCATGTTTGCCCATAAAAGAACAGCTGGGGCTCCTGGACCTTAACACTTGGCCAGGCAAACACACTGTCTCCAGGTGGGAGAAGCATTTGCTACATCACTAATGTGTGAATGGCTGGTCACTGAGCAGCTGCGGATTACACCAGTTCCAGTTGCCCTATTGCCTTACCTTAGCTGAGAAATTGCCTGTTGCATAGAGAGACTTAAGAACCCATATTCGCAGAGAATAGCTCTCACACCTGGGGGTGATTTTCTGTAGGGACAATTGTGAGTTAGCTATAATGTTTTCATTATGATTGAATAGTTGTTAGTGTTGTGTGTGTCCTATACAAGATTGAATGTTGACTATGTGCATAGCTTTCTAACATTACATGAATAGATCAGACTGAATCTGTACTTTAACATGAAGCAACTAAGTTTTTTCAATCTTAGTCTATTTACAAATTTTGTGTAGCAGAATTAGCTCATGTTGGAATGGTTGAACAGATGGTATTCAGAAAAAATGAGGCTTGCTTTCTTTTGGAAATTAAATTTTAAGTCCCTATATCGGATCACAGCTAAAGTCTTTGATGAATTATTATAAGGGAGCATGGTTTATAATTTTCTTTGCTATATTTGCCCTGTAGCCACATCTGCAAATTTGGTGTTAAATTTATAATTCAGGGATTGTTACACTTTCTTCAAGGAAATTTTTTTTTTTTTTTTTTTTGAGGCAAAGTCTCACTCTGTAGCCCAGGCTGGAGTGCAGTCGTGCGATCTCAGCTCACTGCAACCTCTGCCTCCTGGGTCCCAATTCAAGCAATTCTCCTGCCTCAGCCTCTCGAGTAGCTGGGATTATGGGCACATGCCACCACACCCAGCTAAGTTTTGTATTTTTAGTAGAGACAGGGTTTCACCATGTTGGTCTTGAACTCCTGACCTTGTGATCTGCCCACTTCGGCCTCCCAAAGTGCTGGGATTACAGGTGTGAGCCACTGCGCCCTGCCAAGTTTTTTTTTTTAATATAATAAATAGCCGAGGCGGGTGGATCACGAGGTCAAGAGATCGAGACCATCCTGGTCAACATGGTGAAACCCTGTCTCTACTAAAAATACAAAAAAAAAAATTAGCTGGGCACGGTGGCGCGTGCCTGTAATCCCAGCTACTGGGGAGACTGAGGCAGGAGAATTGCCTGAACCCAGGAGGCGGAGGTTGCGGTGAGCCGAAATCGCGCCATTGCACTCCAGCCTGGGTAACAAGAGCGAATCTCCGTCTCAAAAAAAAATATTTCTAAACCACAAGGATAATTGTACATGCTACCTATAAAGTAGTTCTTAAAATCAGGGTAATCAAAATGGGCCTGTGGGAACTCTCTGGCATGGGAGTTATTGCATGGGATTGACCCTGAAAATCCAGATAAAGTTCCTTGAGGATTTAAGTTGCAGTCCTCAATTGATAATGTTTGAAATCATCTATTGTGTACATATCTTATTTGAAATATGTACTTAATTTGTGGGCTAATTTATTATAGATTAAAGTCAATGTCAGTAATTAAATGGGAGCAGATGTTTATATGGAGCAGAGCACTTGAATTTACTGGAAATGCTGATTGTCTTCTGAATTGTAGCCTGCCGAGAATGGTTCAGTGTCATCATCATTATCATTAGCCCTTTAACACATACAGGCTCTGTGGTTTTGTAATGCTTTTTGACATGTCATGCGTTTAAGCCTTAAAATAACCCAGTGAACCTGGGTGTGGTGGCCTGTAGTCTCAGCTACTTGGAAGGCTGAGATGGGAGGATCACGAGCCCAGGAGTTCAAGGCTACAGTGTGCTGTGATCACACTTGTGAAAAGCCAGTGCACTCTAGCCTAGGTAACAGAGAGAGATCCTGTTTCCTTAAAAAACTCCATCGAGGTAGCTATTTTTACAATTGTCATTTAACAGGTGAGGAAACCAAGGCCTAGAGAGATGAAGTGACTTGCTTAGGGTCATACAGTTAGACTTGGGATTTGAACCCAAGTCATCCTATTGAAAAGCTAGAGTGATTTTAAGATTTTGTCATACCCCAATTCCCATCCACTGCTTTTCATTCTTTTTTTCTTCTTTTTTTATAGAGATGGGATCTTACTATGTTGCCCAGGCTGGTCTTGAACTCCTGGGCTCAAGTGATCCTCCCACCTCAGCCTTCCAAAGTGCTGGGATTACAGGCATGAGCCACCAAACCCGGCCTCATCCACTGTTTTTCAAAATGTGACCCTTGGGTCTTCCCCAAACAGCATTCTCTGGAGTACCTGTAAAAATGCAGCTTCCTGGGCCCCGTCCCAGATTTACTGAATCAGTCTCTGAGGGAGGGAAACAAGTATCTCATATAATTTTATGCACGATAAAATCTCAAAATCTAGGCTTCCTGAGTTTCTATCTGTTGAAATTGGTGATGGGACCCTTAACTTCTGATATGTTACTCCGAATCTGAATAATTAGCAACTCAGATGTTGGAGAATAATTATTTTATTATTTACTCATATCATAAATAGTCATCCCAGGGTCAGCTCATCTGAAGTGTAGTAAGAATATCACTGGTATCACATGCGATGAGTTTAGTTAATATGTCCGTGGACATATTTTAGTAGCTATGTAATTATTTTCTTGTGTATTAGAAAAATCAGCACATCAGGCTTGTGATTTAGTGGATGTTATGGCTTAGAGCAGGCAAAGTATTAAAAGGAATGGAATTTAAATCAATATAAAAATAAATATGAAATTAGGAAGGGTGGTTTGCAGATACAGCAAGCCAAACTTGTTGAGGTGGTATGTGAAATGACAAGTTTGGCAAGCGTTTTCCCAGCTAAAAAAGTAGATAGTTATTATACTGAATTGTGGGTCAGCTAAATTAACGCATGATTTAATACCAAGTCATCCTGAAGATTAGCCTGAAAATTAAGACTGTTAGACAAAATGTAATAAAAAGTTTGTTTTGCTTGCACCCCCCCCACTACCAATTCAATTGCTTTCATTTTTACTAGGCTAACAAATGGTAAAAAATCTCTCTTGAATTTGTCAGAAATTTTAAGAACAAAATTTGAATGTAATCTATAGATGAGATGAAATAAGAAAGTTACAAACGGAAACATTTTTAGGAACTGTTAGTAGAAGTGACGCAGTTGATCACAGCTTTCATTGTTTGGAAAGTAGGACTAGGCTATGAAAAGAACATGATGGAGTAGTACAAACAATGTTGGTTAGCTTCGTGACCTTGTGTAGTCTCTGAGGCTCAGTTTCCTTATCTGGAAGGGTAAAAGGGCTTCGATTAGATTATGCACCTCTAAATGCCTTTCTTTCTAGAACATTATTCAATTGTATTCAAAAGAATTTGATTTGGGCCAGCTTTATGAAAATTAGGACACTATAGTTTTAATGTGATCATCTTCCTTCCTCTGGCTTCATCATTATCATCATCTCTTCTCTGTTCTCCTTCCCTCAC